CTGCAAAATGTCACACCGACATTTCAAGAACAGTCTTAAACCCGACAACCCTAAACCTTCTCAGCAGAAGGGTGGTCAGATGGTGGAAGGGATTCCTCAGCAAAACAACATAAGGAGCCCCAAACCCTGAACCATTTCCATACAAAATATAAGATCTCAAAACCCGAAACCCTCAAAATAGAAGCAAAATTAGGATGCATGTACCACGCCATGTGCGACTGACCTGCTTCTTCTGCCTGGCATCCTGCTGTTCTGCAGAGACGCTGAGCGTTTTGGGGTTCGTACCTGGAAGCCTGTGAAAGTGGGGTGTGGGGGTTAGGGTTTAGGGATTAGGGATTGGGGTTTAGGGTTTAGGGTGTACCAGGACCCCCCAATGGCCCTTTAATGGAGGCCACTTAGGGCTTGGAGTTTGGAGGATTTGGGGTTAGGATCTAGGGCTTGGGGTTTAGGCTTCAGGGTTTCGGGTACTGTTGAGTAATGGACCCCTTTTTACAGTGCAGGGGGAGGCAGATACAATAATCACGGGTCTGCGTGGTTTGTACTTAGGGTGGCGTAGACCCCGGATTACCGAAACCCTGTTCCTTTGCAGGCCCTAACTCCTAACTTCCGGGTTCTTAGAATCATCTGTATGGATTTAAATGGAAGGGGTTCGGCGTAAAAAAAAATATGCGGTTTGTACTTCAGACTTGAGATCAGGGATTTGCGGCTCAGATTCTCAGAGTTTGTTAAAGTTTGGGGTTAAGAGTGTGAGGTTTGCGGTTTAGGGTTCAAGATTGAATGAGGGTTTGGGAGTTTAGGGTTTGTGGTGGATGCAAGTCAGCCCTGAACCTCAGCAAAAAGAAGCTTGGGTTGCTAAGACTAAACTTTCAAGGATGCTCTTCTTTTAACGGTTCCGGTGGCCGGGCGAACTGGGTAGTGGAACTACTGTTGATGATATAAATCCTGCATTACCTTAAGGAGCTTAAACTATGGGAATTATGGCATATTCCTTATTAGGGGTACTGCAGGATTCATATCATCAACCGTAGGATCCGGAGTAGGCCCTGATTCCCTTTTTTAGGGTTTAGGTCGAAGTTCCCTTATAACCCCCTTTAAACGAAAAAGGGCACCCTTTTTATTCCTAGGTTACTCTTAGGTCTAGGGAATAAGTAGCCTTTGACTTCTGGTTGGTTTTATGACCCTTGTCATTGTACAGCTTAGTAGCTGGGCGGACACACTTTACACTTTTGGGGAGCATATTTCCACTATAAACTAGACGTGTACATTTTTCCGGGCCTTATGAACTCAGGAACTAAGACAACCCCAGAGGCCTGCAGGAACGGTACAAGTAAGAGAAGGTGCGTACTTGAAGGCGGCTCAGGCTTGTCACCTGCCCTAAACCCTAAACCCCTAAACCCTACTTGGAGGTTCATGGGTAGCTATGCGAGTTTCCGAAAATAGGGGATCCTAATATAGTACCCTAAAAGGTAGGATCCTTATTATAAGGACCCCAATAATGCTTAAATCATAATAATAAGACCCTTGTACACGTAGTTCAAGGTATATTGGTTTCATGCTTCGTTAAGGAACATACCTTAGATTATAGAAGGCATCGTATTCTGGTTTAAGATATATTCCTGAATTTATCCATTCAATAGTATTGGGCTCGGTGGACACCTGGGTCCCGAAAACCTGAACCTAAGCCCCGAAGATTTCAACACACAAAACGACACCCCGCAACCCCATCCCCACACCCCCTGACGCCCTAAGCCCGGGAGCCCTCAACCCCTCGACCCGGAACTCTCCTGAACCCGTATCCCTCGACTCAGAAACCTTTGAATCAAGAACCCTAGACTCCAAAAATCCTCCCAAACCCTAAACTGTAAAGGCCCTTTAACAAAGAAGCCCCTAAACCCTATAGGCCCGTTCAGAAGACCCCATAGGCCATAGGCCCTTTGAGACCCCTAAACCCTATAGACCCTTTAAGAAAACCCTACAGGCTCTTTAAGAAACCCATAGCCCTTTAAGGAAACCCTATAGGCCCTGGAAGAAAGCCTGAGAAATTCCTAGGATTGCCCTGGGAGCCCTCGCTGGATGGACTGCCTATGAGCCTGAAGAGCTCATCGGTCTCTTCGCTCAAAGGGTTTCGGGTTTTAGGGGCTTAGGCTTTAGGGATTAGGGGAGAGGGTTTAGGGGTTTCGGGGTTCCTGTAGGGTCTCCTTTCCTACACTATTTGGGTGAGGATTTACGGTTTTAGGGGCTAGGGGTTTAGGGTTTAGGGTTTACGCTCATCGGTCTCTTCGCTCAAAGGGTTTACGGTTCACAATAAATTACCTACACTATTTGGAGGGGTTCCTTTAAACGGATCTACATAAGGGTTCCGATAAGGGACCTGAAAGGGTTCTATAAAGGAAGGGCTCATCGGTCTCTTCGCTCCGGGTTTATGGGAACACGCTAGGGTTTACGCTTTGAGGAGCTAGGGGTTTAGGGTTTAGGCTCATCGGCCTCTTGCTGAAAAGGGAACCCATTACAGAACCTAAAGGGGGTGCACAATATTTGCCTGTACCATCTTGGGGGTTTCCTATAAAGGATTCCATAAGGCTCATCGGTCTCTTTGCTCCGGGTTTAGGGTTTTAGGGGCTTAGGGTTTAGGGGAGAGGGGAGAGGGTTCCTGTAGGGTTTAGGAGTTTAGGGGTTAGGGTTTTGGACTTTGGGGTTTGGGGTTTGGAGGTTTAGGGTTTAGGACTTTTCGTCAAGAGGCTTTCAGGGGTTCGAGAAGGGCTCTCTCAAGGGTTTCTGTTAAGGCTCTGTAAGGCGTCCTTTAAGTGCTCCGTTAAGGGATCTATGGCGATTCCTTTCAGGGTTCGGTTCGGGGGTCCAAGGGTTCGAGCCGGTCTGGGAACGTGGGGTTTAGGGATTAGGGTTGTTAGGGTTTAGGGTTTCGGGTTTCGGGCTCAATGTTCAGGGTTCATGCAACGGTTTCTATTTATTCAAGCCTCTAGACTTCACTTGCACGCTTATGCTGTTGAGCTGACAGTTTGAGTGCAACCAAGGTATCATTGCTGCCTTCTTGGACTACCAGACGAATTGGGACTTGCACTTAGCTTCAAGGCCTGCGGCAAAAAGGAACCCATCATCAACAGATACCACTCCAGTCACTATGCGGATTCAAACACTACCACCCTCCCCCCCTCCCGCTGCTTCCAATACGAAGTTCGAGTTCACAGAATTTCATGCCATCGCTTTGTCCTGGTTGTCTTGAGGCTGATGCGACTACAACCTTGTATCCATACTGACACCGCCCATGAAACTTCAATGGGAATATAACCTTGCACCAACCCTTATGGCAAGTGTCCGAAACTCCGTCAAAAAGCTTGATAAGCTTGTAAGCCCTTGTGAAAAGCGCCCGAGACTCGTTCCAAAAGCTTATAAACGGTGTCTAGTTTTTCGTGTCGCCCACTGTGAGGCTTGGCCCTCCCATCGTTGATCTCCCTGGCGGGAAACACACGAATGCCCGGCAATGGTTTCTGTGGGGTTTGGGGTTTCGGGTGTTCCAGGGCAAGTGTTCTGAGTAGTGGATGCAGTTTCGGGGTGGTTCACAAAAGAATCACCCAAAGATCCTACTAATTAAGACAGGCACCTTAAGAATTAGAACAGGCTTTTGGTGCCATTATACGAAAGTTGTAACAAGGAGCCACAAAATAGTATTGGTAAATATTTGAGCCCCTGTAGTACTTGTGCTTGGGTCTGTATAGGGATCCCACAGACTCTGAGACTTTCCTAGGACTTCTGGTCTCGTTAAGGGTCAAGGGTTTGCAGCGGTTCGGGGAAACGTGGCCAGTGGACCCTAGAGCATAAACCCAGATCCTTGCTTACATCAAAGCCCTAGCATCTCCAGAACCCTAAACCCTGATGCCAAAGCCCTCAACTATGCCTCAGGGTTCGGATAGGACCTTGCTGCTCTGGTGTCGATTTCCTAAACCCTAGTATAGGGGCCTCAATTAGTTCGAATGCTATTCTGCGGGTTCCTTATGACATGTACAATACATTATTCCCAAAAAAACCTGTTCTACTTGTTATTGCCACTACACTATAGAACCCTACTTTAGGTTCTTTATAAAACCCTTCACAGGAGCCCTGTAATAGAAACCCTATTCTAACTGTTAAGGCCCTCTACCTTAAATCCCCAGTACAAACCCTACAAAGATGAATTTAAAGGAGCCCTTTGAAGGAACCTTATTCTAATACTTGAGCCTCAAAACCTACCGCCTGGCAATGTAGAGGCGAGCATCAACCTGCGCATCGGGACGACTCACCTCCAACCCGACGTGGGTCTCGCCACTGCACTTGACACGTGGCTTAATGTATATATATAGATGGGCTTGATCACTTAGCAAAAGCGTCCCGGCTAGTCCCTACCACACAGCCTTTTCTTATTGTCGAGGTCCCTATGCTGAAACGGTAGGGGGCGCAAGCAACTCGAAATCCAGACGATGGACGAAATCTTGCTTCGAAAATCCCAGCTTTGACTCAATTCTGACACATCCTTCTTGTGCGTAGTGCCCAACAGTACCCTAGGATGCCCAGTAGTACCCTTATTCCCTTTTTGTAGTCCTAGGTTCCTTATAAAGTTACCCAATACCAAAAAGAGAGGCCTTTTTATTCTTAGGTTACTGGGTATCCTAGTACCACTGCAAAAGCGGAGCCTTGATAGCTAGATCCCAGAAGCCCCTCTTCATTGAGGCCAATATGCTTGAATTATAGAGGGATCCCCCTGACATCATTTAGGGCTTCTATACTTTGTGTTCGTGTTCCTGGAGCCCAGAGACCTCTAGGCTTCCAGCCCGAAACCCTAACCCTAAACCCTAAACCCTAAAACCCTAATCCCCAAAAGACACGAGGTCATAAAAAAAAAGAAAACCCTAAAACCCTAAACCTTAAACCCTAAAACCCTAAAACCCTAAACCCTAAAACCCTAAAAACTGCTCTTCGAGGACATGATGCTGGGTCGAGGCGGAGCGATGCCAGTGGTGGGTCTCTGGGGTCTTGTTAAGCAATTCAATTGAAGTTAAGATAATCGGGAGCTATAGTAAATAACATGGTTCATTATTATGGTTTAAGTAAGTTAAGATAGTCGGGATATAAAGGAAATACTATGGTTCCTACTGTGGTAGCTTAAATTAAATCCTTCAACCCGAACCCAGGTCTTGTGGGCGCCCGCGCGTCCTCTGTCAGCGGCCCCATTGCAACCTTGGCTGCGGTGCAGAAGGTGCCGCAAATCTCCATGGCCTCTACCAGCCCAAGTCTTTCAAACAAGGCTGGGTTCTTGCTAAGGGGTTTAATCTCAGTTACCATTTAATAGGGAAACCGTCGTATTTCCTTTGGATCCCTAGCATCGTAACTTAAAATTAAGTTGCGTAACAAGACCCCATTGCAGGAGGTGTATCCGTTCTTCTTGCGCACTGTGCCGCCGGACAGCCTCCAGGCGCTGGCACTCTGGCAGTGGATCCTGCAATTTGATGTCCCTCTGGCGACCTGCTTATATTCCTCAGAGAGCCACTCAGCATACGAGTACGTAACAAGTTCTTGGGCTGGGGTAACCCTGTACAACCCTTCAAGATTCCAGTTACTCTTCAGCTCCCCGGGAAAACCTGGACAACTGAGGTTATGGGCAAGGCCTCTTCAATGAGATCTTAGATCTGGCCAGAGAGGAGCGTCAGCCTGATCGCCTGCAGGGTCGGGCCATACGGTTCATGGTGCAGGAGTTTAGCAATGAAGAGGCTGCTGGGCTCGTGTTAAAGTTACCATCAATACGGACAGACTGACATTTATCAGGTGTCGCTGTTAGTTGTAGTTGAACCTAGGTTCCTTTCAACAGAACTTAAGCTGATCTACAAACTTACAATTAGGTCCCAGAGTTCCTATGGTCGCCTCAGGATTTTTTTGTTTCTGTTCATGCCCAAGAGAATACGTTAAAACATATAGCATTTTCTATTCTGGTTCTAAGGGTGATATAATGACCAGGGGACATTTTACATTTGCTCTTATTGGACTTAGGAGGATCTTACAAAAGAATATGTTTCAAAGGCTTTATAAGCAGCTCCCAGGTAACCAGAACCCAAGGCCCCATGGATCCCTTGAAGGAACCCTATAGGATCCCTTTAAGGAGCCCTTGAAGGGACCCCTATAGGATCCCTTTAATGAGCCCTTGAAGGGACCCCTATAGGATCCCTTTAAGGAGCCCTTGAAGGAACCCTTACTAAGCCCCCCTGAACCCGAGGCCCGGGAATCTCTGATGGCAGTCCGGCAGATCGGCTCGAAGTTCCTGATTTTGGCCATGCAGAGCAGGATGATCGTTGCTTGGAGAGTAATTCCCTTTAAAGGCTTCTTAAAACGGTCCTGTTTGGATAGTAATTCCTTGAAAGGGTTCTTAAAAAGGATCCTGTTGTGGCTACTACAAGGCTTTAAAGGGCTCTTAAAAAGAAATCCTGTTAGGGCTACTACAAGAGGTAGTATGGGGGTGTAAAATAGGGGCTTTGATATGATCTGCAAAGGGTTTAGAGCTTCGGGGAGACAAGTCGAAAGCTTTCTGAAGTGTATATACACATAGCCTGACATTCCGGCTGAGTGCATCAGAAAGACGCTTCCAAGACTCATGAAGTGCGTTCGTTGAACGTAACCTCAATATCGAGGTGTGCGTGGGCTTGAGTTTTAGGGTGTTCGTCAAAAGCAGGCTCTAACGACTCATCTAGTATAACCTTAAGTTCTAGCTGGGTTTCGGCATTTGGGCTAAGAAATCTTCTTGAAAATAGTTCAAAAGAGATTACATGTAACGGAGCCCAAACCCCGAACCCTAAGCCCGACCCCCTACACCCTTCAACCCCAAACCCTGAACGATTAGATGGGGGTTTCCGAAAACTAGGGGTACCTTACTTGGGGGTCCCTTTAAGAAGGATCCTACTATTTAGGATGCTATACGAGGGCCCCCTTTCTTTGGGAACTCCCAGATAAAGCATGGCCTTATGTGCAAACTACTTTTTCGGACTGGATATTCTGGAAACCCTAAACCCTAAACCCTAAACCCTAAACCCTAAACCCTAAACCCTAAACCCTAAACCCTAAACCCTAAACCCTAAACCGATTTGCAAAACACAACCTTCAGGTTTCGTGCTTCGGGTGTTGTTCTCGAAACTGGCTTGGAAGATTTACAGAGCTAGAGCTAGAACCTTAACGGCAGGACGTGCAGGTTCAAGACTGGTTCAGACATACTCCGAATTATGGTAGCAAGTTATTACCTCCGTGGCACTAGGGACCTAAATCCATCATGGTAGTATATATGGAGCCTCTAGGAAATTCATGAGCACCCGAAAGTTCCCAAACTAATTCCCGTGCCTCACCAAGCGCTTAGGGAAGGTTCACTGCAACCCCTGGGGATGAAGCGATAAGCCCTGACTGCGAGACCCGAAACCTTAAATGGGGGCCGAAATAATGACTAATACTATTTTGGAGGCTCCTTTTTATAAGTACAGTAGAATATGCCTCTAAACCCTATTCTAATTATTAAGGCCCCTCTGCTTTAGACCCTACACCGTAGGGCCGAAACCCTAAACCAGAAGACAAGGTTGAAATTGGGCCTCTCCTTCAACAGGAAGGCATGTTGAGCCCGGCTTGGCAAATTATCTGCTCCGACACGTGTGCCTGTCCCCACATCTAGAGTTTCGCTGGGTTTAGGGATGCAGTATGGAAGCTTGAAAAATTAGGAAAGCCATGTTTCGGGATTGCTTACGACACCGGAAAACTTTCATGTATCCCAAAGTGCTTTTGTCAAGGCTTTTATCTGAATAGTCTGTTACTTTTGGTCTGATGGTTTAGTGTTGAGGAGGATTCAGGCGTCAGGATTAGGATTACGATTACTATAGGGGCCTAAATAATTACCTATACTATTTTGGTGGGTTCCTGATTAGATTTAAAGTATAATGGACCCCGAAACCCTACTAATTATTAAGGCCCCTACAGTAGATGTTTTGCCATGTGCTTGAGGAGTCCTAAGCTGTCTGGTTCCTAGCAGGTAATGGGGGAAAACGATCCCTATGGGAGTCTCTATGTAATCCCACTAATAGTCCCCATAACCCATTCCCGAATTCCTTATTAAGAGCCAGACAGAAAATCCCATGGGCTTTGATTTCAGAGTTGAGGCAGCTTGGGTGTAGTATGTAATGTAGGAACCTGATTAAGAAACCCTGACCCTATGACCTCAAAATAGTAGGAGTCATATAAGGCACCCTAATAAAGGCCCAAGGTTTCTCAATCAGGTTCCTACATTACGGCCGGATACAGGCACCGGACTATCAACCCGATGTCACTCCGGACACTTCCGTAATCTAGTTGTAAGAACATGTTCCCCAACACCCGGTTCTCTATTGTAGGGTGTCCGGGAGGGCCGCATCGATGCCGATGGAAGAACTCACAAAAACCCTGAAGCGAACCCCTTTCGGGTATTATGCAAGATTCCAGGACACCCCCCGCCTTGTTTAGGGGTTTTAGGGTTTAGGGGTTTAGGGTTTAGGGCTTGTCATCCTGGAATTTCGTGGTTGGGGTTATAAGGTTTAGGACATGGTGAGATTCAGGCACCTCCTCTAGCGTCATGACCATGCTGCCCCCGGGCGCTATGACCTTTGCGACGGCTGGAAGGGGCTCCAACTTCGAGCACTTCAGGCTCTGAGTAATATAGGTGCCTTAATAATTACCAATACTATTTTGGTGGGTTTCCGCATTATAATTACAGTATAATGGGCCGCAAAACCCTATTCTAATTATTAAGGCCCCTATATCATATACCCCTACTTTAGATCCCTTATAGGACCTTTAAAGGACCCAAAAAGGGAACCCTATTCTAGTTATTAAGGCCCCTAAAGTAAATCCTAAACTCTGAGCCCTGACCGGCTCTTCGGGCTTAAAGGGAACTCCAGAAAGTTGGAATATGGTTTCAGTGTAGGATACCCTATAATTTACCATAAAGGGTTTAGGATAGTCATATTCCAACTTTCTGGCTTTTACTTTAGGGTAGGCGGCCTTTACTGGGCGTTCTTCTGGTTGGCTCTTACAGTTGATGATAAACATTCTGCATTACCCCTAATAAGGAATATGCCATAATTCCCATAGTTTAGGGTCCTTGAGGTAATGCAGGCTTTATATCATCAACCGTAGGACTTTAACTTTTTGGGTTTCTATATGAACTACCAAAAGGAGGCTAGAAGTTTAGCCTCGGGTACCTTGAGATCCCAATACTCCTTAATTCGGGAATACTTTAAATCATAATATTGAGTCCCCTATAGTTTAAGGTATATTCCTTAATTAAGGGGCATTAGGATCTCTGGGTAGGTGGCCCTTAGATCCTTTAGGCCGTGACTAGATGCTACTACGACCAGTCAGTCGATCTGTACTTCGGCCGGAATTCAGTGGCCAGGCCTACCAAGCCTTCATGCCAAACCTCCTCCAGTCTGCCGACATGCTATAGGGGCCTTAGTTGTTACCTATACTATTTTGCGGGCTCCTGATTATAAGCATAGTATAATGGGCCCCAGAACCCTATTCTAATAGGCCCCTATATTAGTTCTACACATTTCCCAACACCTGTCCGGCATGGTTTAGGTCTTTGCCGCCTTTGGGGATGTCTTCCGTGAAGTACATGCTTGCAGGGTGTGCTTTCCATACGAATGGAGGAATGGGGTACAATTATGACCGCTGTTACTACCATTCTTCCATTCCCTAGTAACCAAAGGTAAGACAAATTGGGTTTCAAGACTCTTTTGGGAGGAAGGGTTCCATCAGCCCGTGTGGTTGGTGGGTCGGTCGGTGGCTTGGTTGGTAGAAGGCGTGCTGTTTTTCACTGCCTGACTCCTAGCAGGGAATACGGCTGCTCACTAAACCTGCTGATGTGACACAACACGACGCATGTCTCAGCTCAATCCGTTCCCCCTGCAACCCTGCAACCTAGGGCTCAGGGTTCAGGGCCGGAAGTCCTGGAATGCGTGCAGGACCCTTTGGTCCAGACTGACGCCAGACGACATCGTTGGAAACTCTGCCGAAGTTCGGAATGCTATGGCCTTTAGGGATTAGAGCCACGACCAGTATGAGTACTTTAGGCGTGGATAACCCACACCCCCGGGAGGATCCAAAAAGTATCCCTTAATGGGGGTTCCTATAAAGTACCCTTAGTAGTATGGGGCCCCAAATTAGGGGATCTACTTTCCAGATCCTTCCGGGGGTCTGGGAATCTGTTATCATTTTCGTTGTGGTCCCTAGCTGGTTGTCCAAGGTGATGCGGCCCGAGAGAAGTTTGGTCTCGATGCCATGCGCGAACCGCTCGAGGATGCTGCTGTTGCGAGCCTCGGCAGAAAAAGGTTTGGTCTGTTAAGAGTTTTTCCAGTGGTTCTGCGAAGGCTTTACCTGGGCTTTTGCCGCTTACTGTTTAGGGTACAGGAGCTTGGGTTCAGTGTTTAAAAGTTTGGCTTTAGGGCTTGCAGGGCTTTGGGATTTGGATTCTGGAGGTGCGTTTGGTGCGTACGGTGTAATCGGGTGCTCTTTTGATGGGCGAGTTATGATTATGCTGGGGGCCCACTAAGTAGACCTCAAACCCTAGAGTTGAAGCTGACTGCATCATTTAGGGTCGGAAGACTTGAAATTAGCATCCCGTTCGAATCCCCCGATTTTCTTGCATGTCTTGTATTCGAATATATCCAACAACCCCATTTTGATCATTAAGGGGCCCTGCGATTTATCGCCTTGGGGTCTATTGAGTTGCTGTTTCTTATCCGGCGTTTGCTATAATCTGTTAGCTTGTGCAGGGCAGACCGTGGTGGTCGAGGATGTTTTCTGGAGTTCTTACTGGGGAGGAGCAATATGTAACCGTAGCATGGTTACGAGGTCTGTCTTCTGGAGCTCTTTCTGGGGTTGGTGGAGTATACATAAGACATAAGCTTAGTATAGTTACGAGGTCAACCTCCCAGCAGCTATGTAGTGTCGCTTCTTCCTTGTGGAGTATCACTGCAGTCATACCGCAGCATTCTGTGGGTTGAAAAGGGCCTCCGAACTCTCGACAATCTAAGGGACATGTTAGCCGCCGGTGCCTCCTCTGCAACCATCTACGCGCCATTGGCCTTCGATGCCTTCTATGCCTTTGCAGCCACCCGGCCTACACATGCTGCCGAGCCTACCCCTTAGCCCTCAGCGGAACCACGAAATGAGAACCGTTAAGCAACGCACCGTCTCAACCCTCAGACTGTAGGCATAGGGTCTTGTAGAGTGCAGTGTTTTGCCTTCAAACTGCTGGCTTGTCCGCTGCAGCCGCTTCCTGCTTGCATTTACCAGTTCCGCACCAAGCCAGACCTCTTGTTTCAGGCTCCTCTTCGCAAAGCTTTTACATCCTGAAACCCCCAGCTACTAAGCCCAAAAACCCTCCGGCCCTCCTCACTCCGAAAAGCTCCAGAACTCTAAACCCTTAAGTCCTGCCACCCGAAACCATTACATCCTATACACCCCAAGCTTGAAAGCCCTGAACCCTAGACCTCAATTCAAGCTTCACAAGCTAGCCCCATTAAGGAACCCTTATAAAGTCTTATAAAAAGTTCCTAAGTTGCATTATAGTATAATGGGACCCAAGAACCTAATCCAATTATTAAAGCCCTCCTTTAGGTGGCCATCAACCGGCTCCTCGTCTCGGGCTTATCAGCGGCGGATATTTGGGGCGACGTGCTTCTGGCAGAGCTTCGCCAGACGAGCTTCACAGGTGCAAATACGTATGTACCCAGATCTTCCTATATCTTGCCTTTGGGTAGTTGGGAATGGAAGAATGGTAGTACTAGTATTTATAATTGTACCCCATTCCTCCATTCCCTACAAACCAAAGGTAAGATACAACCTAATGAAGGAATACTCCCTAGATCATGTTGGGCATCCTACTATATATTCTTTAATGCAGAGATGTTCGAAGATCTGGGTAGGGGTTTCAAGATTTTATGCATTGGGCTTCAGTGGTTTTGGGCTCGAAGGTGTGCCAGGGCGTCAGGGTTCCTTTAAGGGTTCCTTTAAAGGGGGTCCTTTAAAGGGTATTAGGGTTTGGGGGTTTTAGGGCTTAGGGTTTTTGGGTTTTAAAGATAGCCTGCCGTGAGGGTTGGAGAATGCGTTTCTGTGCGGACGGGGCTTTAGGGCTGTATCTTAGAGTTTTGAGTTTAGGGATTAGGGTGTAGAACTACGGGTGCACAGTCACATGCTACGGTCATATATGCAGTTTAGCATTCCATCTAGTAACCTGCTTATAACCAACCAGGACCAGGACTGTTCAAGCTAGGAGAGAGGAGCAGCTGTGGCGGTTTTGTCCATGGATGCTTTTCCATTTTGCTGCTGTGGGTGTAATTGCAATATTGTTATGGTTGTGCTTATTCGTGTACTTTCACCAACGCATTTTGTAGTAACGGATGACGATCGGCTTCAACATGACCATCATCATCATCGCAGGGCGGTAGTAGTGGCAGTATACCTCAAAGTCTGATTGTAAATCGACTTCTTTCAGCCGAGGGTTATTTGAGGTTCCGTGGTCTCGGGACACCCTGCACCGAAATCCGCACACCGTAAACCCTGAATCTGTAAACCCTATCCCCTAAACCTTAACTCCTAAACCTTAATCCCTAAACCCTAATCCTTAGTCCTTCAACCCCAACACCGAACCCGTCTGCCTCAGGCGCTTCCGGCGAGGTGAGCTTCAACGAGAATGGCGACCGCCTTGCTGCCTACGAGCTCTTGCTCTTCGCCCCAACTTCTTTAAGGGTCCCTTTAAAGGGATCTATAGGGATTCTATAAGGGTATAGGGTTTAGTGTTTCGGGTTCATGGATAGTTATAAGTGGAGCTATAAGTCTCCTAATATGGCTTATGGTTATAGTTACCCTACTTATAACTCCACGTATAACTACCCATGAACCTCCAAGTACCGTGGGGACCTAAATCCTTACCAGTACCGTGTTTTTGGTTTCCTATGCAGAGCTGTAAATGAAGGGCGTTCCTGCAACGAATCTTCTAAGCCCTAAGCCCTAATCCTCAATCCCTTAACCTTGAACCCTACAGACACTTCCCAGCAAGGTTTACAGGGCCAAGGTCTTTTCCACTCGGCTAAAGTGGTCTTGCCTACAATCCGCCCGCGAGGCAGGAAGAAGACAATTCACCTGCCCCGGGCAAAAACGAATTAGTGTCTGACACTAATTCGGTTTTGCCTTTGCCAACCCCTGCCCTCCAACCACCCTGCCCCCAACCTTACCCCAAAAACGAACTAGTGAAAATGGAGAACGTATCCCTAGGTTTCTTATTGCGGGTATTTTCATAGCACGCCAAGCCACAACGAAACCACTTCCACCCAACATAAGATAAGAAGCTGACCCCGAAAGCTAGGGTACCCTAAGGTTCTCAATCTTTAAGCAACCTGAATTTTGTGCATCTTGCTGAAGGTAGGGGCTCAGGTTCTTAAACAGTGGGCTCTTCTACAGGACGTTCACTGTAGTTAATCCCAAGTCCCAAGACCTTAAACCCTTAGGCCGTAAATAATCCTTAAACCTGAAGCCCAACCACACCCTTGCAACGACTCCTACTACTACTACCACCACCACCACTACTATTACTACAGTGGATGGACAATATCCTGCATGACCCAATATAGGGATTATACCATAATTCCCATAGTTTAGGGTCCTTAAGGTCATGCAGGATTTTGTCCATCAACAGTACCACCCTTCCTCCTCCTACTACGACTACTACTCCTACTACAGCTACTACTACTACTACTACTACTACTACTACTACTACTACTACTACTGCTACTACTGCTACCACCATTGCTCCTGCCAACTTTGCAAGGAATCTTCAGTCCTGGGAAGCCTCGGTTCGCTCTGTCGCCGTGGCCGTTTTCTCCGCTTCCAGCGGCAACTTCTCCTTCAAGGACCCCTTTAGGGTTAGGGCTTAGGGTTTAGGGTTTAGGGCTTAGGGTTTAGGGTTTAGGGTTTAGGTGGGTTTGGGTGGGTTAGGGTTTAACTATGGGGGTTTAGGGTAGAGGACCCCTTTTAAGGTTTAGGCCATAGGGCTTAGTGGGGTTTAGGGCTTAGGGTTTAGGGGGGTTTGAGGGTTAGGGTTTAGGTGGGTTGAGGGTCAAGGGAAGGGCTGAAGTCTGGCTTAGACAGTTGAGGGTTTCGGGGTTCAGGGCTCAACAGAAATTCACAGAGAACCGATCCCGTTTTATTCTGAGCCTCCTTTCCAAATCATCCAGTTTACACCTTGCTCAACCCTGACACGAACCCTTCCAAAACCGGTAGTTGTAAATTTCTGATACCGTTCCTATAGTCAGAGATCTGGATAGTTGGCAACAACGTCCCCTCATAGTCCCCTATATAATCATCATGCAAGACAGCCCGAAAACGCAGTTCTGGTCATCTCACCGACACCCGAAGCCCCAGATCCTCGAAGCCGTAAAGGCTAAAAAGAAAGAAGCAGATCGCGAGCCCCTTATAGATCCCCTTAAAGGAGCCCCTACAGAATCCCATAAATCCTTTTACGATCCCTTTACATGACTCCTTAGAGCCTTTGGGGCTATAGATCCCCATAAAGGAGGCCCTGTAGACCCCATAAATCCTTTTACGATCCCTTTATATGACTCCTTAGAGCCTTAGGGCTATAGATCCCCTTAAATGAGTCCCTTTAGGACCCCTCTAGATCCCTTTAAGATTCCTTTACAGAGACCCCATGGCATAGGGATCAGGAGCCCCTACTCTGGATGGACGGCTCTGTGGGGATGGTCACCCCAGAGCATCTTCGCTCCTGCGACCGGGGATTCTTCAAGGGCGAGTCGCGACGCCGGGCGAAGACCCTAAACCCCAAAGCCCTAAAGGGAACTCCAGAAAGTTAGAATATGGTTTCATGGTAGGATACCCTATAATTTACCATAGAAGGGTTAGGATAATCATATTCCAACTTTCTGGCTTTTACCTTAAACCCTAAACCCCTAAACCCCTACACCCTAAACCCCCGAGAAGTCCTTGTTTTCGTGTTGGATCTTCTCAGGTTTGTTTATCGGACTGTAGGCCAATATACTATAGCACACTAGACTATACTAGAAGATACTAGAATGTACTGTAATACACTAGAATATGCTACAACATACTACTGTAAAGTACCTAATACTTTCGTCCTCCTTACTAGACTACCTGGGTGGTTCTCAAAATTATGGTCCCTTTTGGGGTACCTGAATTTTAGGTGCCGCATTATAATAAGGACCCACAAAGGGACACTAATCTTGACAACCACTCACCTGAGTACTGGACCCTGGGACCTTGGCTTTTTTGAGGAGTCCCCTTTCAGGGTTTAGGGTTTAGGGTTTTGGGTTTAGGGTTTTGGGTTCTTCCTTGAGGAGTCCAGGATCTCCCAGCGTGCCTTTTAGGTTTTAGGGTTCTTTAAGTGATCCATTTTTTTGGTTTCTTAGGGCCTCTTTAAATGATTCTTTTGTTGGTCTTTAGGGCTTCTTTAAGTGATCTATGTTTTGGTTTTTAGGGCCTCTTCAAGTGATTTATTTTCTGGTTTCAGGGCTTCCTTGAGTGATCTAGTTTTTGGTTTTTAGGGTTGGGCTTCTTGATGAGGCTCCAGCGTGGGCTTTCAGGTTGAAAGGTCATGGAAGTCGTTCTTTTTCAGTCTGTACACTTGCCTGCGGGTCGCTCCGCCTCTCTCTTTAGTTTCTGTTTTGCCAGTTCCCGAATTTGCAGAGCTGCATCCTCAGTGTGCCTTCTCCTCGACCCTTTCTCCAGGTTGAACAGTCGTGTTGTGCTGATGTTCGGTGCTTGGGTGCGTGAGGGTGGGAATGCAAGAGCTCGACACTTTGAGCGGCGGAGCGTCACATGGGTGGGTCGGGGCTCAAGAGAAAGACATGCAATTTCTTCGCTCCATGTACCAAGGACGATGTGTGCGGTGTCCAATTGGCCACAGGTGTGAAGGAGGGCCCAGCGCGAGCTTTGTGGCTTGCGACAAAGGAACTTTTGCCAATGAGAGCGCGATGTCAAGCTGCCACCTCTGTCCGGAAGGCCACTTCGCTTCGGAAGTGGGTTCCGTAGCCTGCAGTCCTTGTGTCCCTGGCATGGTGGCACCCGAGAAGGGCATGGAGTCCTGCAAGAGGTGTGAGCCAGGGAGCTACCGATCTTCCCCACGTGGCACATACTGCGAGCCCTGTGGAAACAACCAGATCACATCCGAAAGTGGCGCCTCTGTTTCTGCAAGAAGCCTGGTCCCCTTAATTTTGGAACATGAAACTTCATTGTCTAAGATTATGTTTTACTTGATTCTTTATCGAAGTTTATGATATTTCTTCGTTTAGTATGAACTGATTCTTGTTACATTGCTCTATATGAACAGAAAAATAGGTGCCACCTCCCAGTCCGAGTGCATCTGTGCATCGGGCACCTTCATGTGCGCAAGTCGCGGCTGCCTCCCGCCCCTCGGCTTCTCCTTTTAAGGGTTTGGGGTTGAGGGGTTTAGGCTTTGGAGGTTTAGGGGTTTTAGGCTTTAGAGGTTTAGGGGTTGAGGGCTTTGAGGGTTTCCTGCAAGGGGTTGCTGCAGAGGCCTGAATGAGTCGACGGGGCTGTTTGGGCGATCTTGTGACCGAAGAACAAGCTCAAGCCAACGTGATACATATGTGTACACACACATATATATATATATACATAGGTATGTGCATGTATAATAGTTGTGTATTATTATCACTAGTTGTATATTATTATTATCACAGACAGTTATCATGGATAGCTATATACATACGTATAGAACACAGTTGATCCTATCTTTTGAGGCGAAGTCTCCCCTGCAAAAGGCGTTGGTCTCTAGAAGGCTCCTTTGGAGGGGGGGTTCTTGAGAAGGAAAAGCATGTCTTAAGCGCTACTTGTAGCTGAATATAAAGCTACTTCTTCTATAGTCTCCTTAGGAATCATCTTGTTTGTTTTTCATATAAAACCCAAGAGAATATTAAAAACAGTATTTTTATTATGGATGTAAGGGGGTATAGTCTTGCTCTAGAGTAGCCTACTCTGGAAAGAAGGCGGTTGTTTGACGAGGCTGTCACGAAGCACACATTGCTTGGCAGATACGGGTAGGCAAGTACAAGCTAGAAGCGCAACTAGGGCTACAGAGCAGAAATGAGAGAGTCTACATCAAGCCACATCTCTTCGCTGGCGATGATCCGCAACCCTGGCCGCGGGCTGCGGCTCCTAAACCTGGAACACAGATTTCGAACATGTGTTACCGAAGGACTCAAAACTCCGACAGCAGATACATGAAAGCCACCCAGCTCTACGGATCTTCAGTCTTAGAGTCTTCTTGGGAAGCCTGTCCATTTCCGATTGCTTGGCAGTTTCCTCCGTCATTGCATTACTGTCCATGAAACCATCGCGAGGGGAGACTTGCACTGCCTGTCGTGGCAGTTTCCCGTGCACCCAAATCCCCTAATCCGCTAAACCCCAACACCCTAAACCCCTAAACCCTAAACCTTACCCCCCCTAAACCCCCAACCCCGGCAAGTCCCAGGTGTCCAGTTGGCCTCTTCTGCCCGACGGGGCTGGGCCCTCCTCTGCAGAAGGCCCGCGGTGTTCAGAATGGGAGCTGCTAAGCCTTTGAAAGGCCGACCCAGAGCCCAGAAACTTTGCATTTTGAAGGATCTGCTGCATTTTGCTATCCTGAGAGCAAAAATTATTGCGTTTAGTTTAGCCTTCTCTGTCCATGTACAGCAGCCAGCATTACCTGAAGTACTTGCACTTCGCCTGGATGTACTAAGTGATGGTTCAATTTAGCGCCTCCTTGTCGGTGATACAGCCCCGTTACAGACAGGGAAGCGCCAAAATCAACCATCACTAGGACATACATATAGTCCTACCAGTGTCTTATACGTGCCCCAGACCCTATTCTAATTATTGAGGCCCCTACCTGATAGAACCTTTATAGAGCCCTTGTTGCACGCCTTAAAGGAGCCCTTTAAAGGAACCCTATTCTGATGACTAAGGCGGTTGCATTAATGACCACTGGACCCTGCTTGGACACTAGTGGCATCAGCAGCTTCAATGGAGGAGTAAGGAGATGGGGGTGGTAATATGGGAGTTTCCGAAATTAGAGGGTACCTTATTTGGGGCTCCTTATAATAAGGATCCTACTATTTAGGGTACTATATTGGGGTCCCCTATTTTCGGAAATCCCCCAGATAGAAGCTTAAATACTTGCCAAGAATAGGGTTTAGGATTCCTTATTATAGCTGTAGTATTAAGGTAAAAGCCAGAAAGTTGGAATATGATTATCCTAAACCCGTTATGGTAAATTATAGGGTATCCTACCCTGAAACCATATTCCAACTTTCTGGAGTTCCCTTTAAGGAGCCCAAAACTCCCCATTCGGAGAAGGGGAGGTGGCAGCACTCGTCACGTCAAAGCTGTGGTCGTAGCTGCTTCTACAGTTCTCGCACGAGCTTATATCAAGTATCTAACATTCATCTTAGGTGTAGTGCGTATTATATGACACTCGATGCATAATGCAAGACATGCGAATGAAGGATATACAACATCTACGTATTTCTGTAACATGTGAAACATGATGTCTACTACGTGCTGTATTCTATGATTCATACTCCGAAATGATCTGCCGTACGCACTCTTTGGACTTTTTTTAAACCTATAGACCATGATAGAAAATGTGATAGACACTGCCCTGAACCCCAAACCATCCTACACCCTAAATCCTAAACCCTAATCCCCTAATCCCCTAAACCCCTAAACCCTAAACCCCAAGCCCTCAACCGCTTGGAGCCCTTGCGAGAAGGCGGGTTTTTGGACGGACCCCGGCTCCTCTGAGCTTTGCCACTTCGAGGTGGGACGCTTCAGGGCTTAGGGGGTTTGCGGCTTTCGGGGAATTAGGGCTTTAGGGTTTAGGGGCTTTCGCGAGAATACAGGGTGCCTTATTTTGGGATCCTTATAAGCAGGTATCCTGCTATTTAGAGTATTAAATACGGCCTCAATAGCAGGATCTCAATATTACCGGTTCGAGGTTGGAAGCTTCAAGACTGGATGTTGGTTACGAGGCCTTCAACGGCCACCTTCATGCTACCACCAAACTATTATTCTTATTACTACTACTACTACTACTACTACTACTACTACTACTACTACTACTACTACTACTACTACTACTACTACTACTAGTACTACTACTACTGCTGCTACTACTGCTACTACTACTGCTACTGCTACTACTACTACTGCTACTACTACTACTAGTCGTGCTCCAAACAAAGACAGAGGGCCCCTGGCTAGAAGCTCAGGTTTTCCGGTGCCGAAACACACAGGAATGCCCAGCCAATGCGGCGTTGGGTGCCTGTGCCATGGGCCGAGAAGGTCAAGCCTGTAACAATTGCCAGGTGGGAACCTGGACAGGTTTAGAGAAGAAGAGGTTGCGAAAGGGTTTTCTTATGGTTTCCTTAAAACGCCGTTTTGGAGGACATAGAGAAGTAGAGGTTGCGAAAGAGTTTTCCAAACCTTCTTGAAAAACGAACCGACAAGAGACCTATGAAGATTCTGTAGTATAGATGCCTGACGAAGTAGACTAGGGCTTGGGGGATACTATCGTGGAGTTATACAGGGACGATTGAAGTATTGAAAGGGGTACGCGTAATGTAGAGGCCATTATGACTAGAATGCAGCTTGTGGGTGATATACTGCAAGTTATACAGCGGCTGGCAAGGGCCCACAGAGTTGTTCAAACTGTTTTTCAAGCGTGTAGGTGTTGCGGGAGTGGTACAGGGTGGGTTTCAAGTTCTAGACAGGTGTTTGGGTGTGGGGCTTCGGGGTCTTCGTTTGTACATGCATTTCAGGCTTGAGGCGTTTATACCAAGGAATTAGGTTGGCTGGCAGACTTGGTGGCTTCCAGAGGCCTTCACAGTGCTGAAGCTAGAGTTTGAGTGGGAGATAGAGGTTCAAGTTTGCCCCAGGTTTCTGCTTGCGAAAGCATCATTGCGATCAAAACTTACTAGCAATGCGTATATTCTGTCGGATTTACTACGAAGGGAACAAGCAGGTTGCAATTATCGTGACAAGTGCTTATAACTACTTCTGTCTGCCGTGGCGCAGAAGTATGCACAATATCTTCTAGAAATGTTGCTACAATGGATGCTGCTACGAGAACTGCTTGGAAGCCTGAAGCCACCCCCAACATCCCAAAGCTGTCAGGCCAGGCACTTCCCTCGACAGGATGCTGAGCAGTTTGGAAGATGCGATCCCTGCGGCAGCTTGCAGACCTACTTATGCAGGGTTTGAGGCCTATCGTCATCAGTATCTGGTTACATGGACAACGGCCATGGCCCATCTCATTATCAGAATCACTGCAATGTGCATGTTCTGCTTCTGTATGACACTCCTACTCTTCACTGTTGTAATCCTTGTCATGGTGGCGACAGCTGCAGCCGCAGCTGTACCTTGAGCTGTAGTAGTAGGGGTAGAAGGGGATATGGGTAGAGCTGCATGTCGTCATTGTCCTCGTATTTGCACTAGTCCCAGCATTCGCGCTCTTACTCATATCAGTTGGTAGTGCTGGTTCGAGTGGCAGAAGCAGCCGCTACAGCAGCAAAGAGGCATCATTAGTGGTGTTCAACAATGGCAAAGATAGTAAGATAGCGAGACAAGAACTGAAACTAGGCATAGCCACTCACACCTGAAGGACCTCATCAAAACTGGCAGTGGTGATTGCAAAGAACTAAATCGTTGCAAACACGTGCTACACTCGGCCGCGGAAGCAGCAGAATAAGTAGCGTAAATGCTTGCTGCAATCAATAAACGCAATTTCGAGCAAAAGCGAGAGTTTGTTGTCCCTGCAAATCAAAGTAAAAGTTACCATTCTGGTGACAAAGATCACTGCAATCGAATCCGAATGCCCATAGCCAGGCCTAAACTCTGAAATCGTCAGCCTTCAACCTTAAAGCCATCAACCCGAGAGCGTGATGACTTGGAACGAGTTCCGCAACGAGAAACCAGTTCGTCGAGCGCGAAGGACCCAGACCCACGGGAGGATCTAGAAAGTAGATCCCTAATTTGGGCCCTATACTACTAAGGGTACTTTATAGGAACCCCCATTAAGGGATCTACTTTTTGGATCCTCCCAGGGGTCTGGGGAAGTGAGACAGAAGTCGCGAACCGACCCTAAACGGGAGGGGCACGGGACTTAGAAAGTCGTTTATAAGTAGGGCTATAATTGGGCTTATAATTCTACTTATAACCTACTTACTAAGTCCCTTGCCCCTCCAAGTAAACGGGAGGGCTTCGCCTAACCCAAAAAAACCCGAGCAGCACAGGCCGAATTGTAAGCCAGGCAGGGTTTGGAGGTAGGGTGTTTTGCGATGAATGGATCAGGGGCTTTGAGGTTTCGGAGTTGTGGGGCTTTTTTGGGGTTTCAAGTAAAACCTGATGCCTTGAATCAGGTATCATGCACTTCCCAATACCTCATCGCTGTATCCTAGTGCCAAGCCTGCAAAGCCCATGAAACGCTATAAGTCCCACGAAGCCTTGTGATCCCAAAGCCGAGGTGAGATAGACGTGCTTCCCGGAATTGTTTTCCTGGGTATCGCCACATGCCACCCGGCTTCCCACAAATTAAGCGTCTTCAAGAGCTCCTATCAAGGTACTAGAAGGGCTCTTCAAAGCATGCCATAACGGTTACTTTAACCCTAACGCTCAAAATAGCCCAAAAGCCTTGTATTGTATGGTCTTTGGGCCCAAAAGCCTTAACATATGACTCCTTAGAGCCTAAGAATTAAGGGTTCCTGTGAGGGATCCCGAGGGTTGAGAACCTCAGCCTCATCGACTTTAGGGTTCAACTGTTGATGATATAAATCCTGCATTGCCTTAAGGGCCCTAAACTATGGGAATTATGGTATATTCCTTGTTATGGGTAATGCAGGATTTATATCCCTAAACCCTAAACCCTATCAGATCCCTTAAAGGAACCCCTACAGGTACCCTTAATAGAGCCCTTTAAAGGAACTCTAGGATTTATATCATCAACCGAAGGCTTGCTTTGTTTTGGGAGGTTTCGGGCTTAGGCCTTGAGTCTGAGGTCCTATCCCACAAAGCCCTCGGTCCTTATAAGGGCGCTGATAAGATAAACTACAACATAAGACATTCCATAGGAGGTATCATATAAAACTTAGGATGTGATTGATATTTAGGTACATATAACATGCAGTTTGAAAGCCGTCCCGACTTAAAGCCCTGAACGCCAACTCCCTCTTGGCCACAACACCAAAGAAGGACGAGCCCCAAGTCCCAAACCCTTAACTACTATTTGCGTAAGAATCACCCAAAAAATAAAAAATATATTCCTTATGGGTGTAATATAGGGATTATTATTTCTATTTTTTGGTGGTTTCTTAAGCAAATAGTAGCTTAATCCCAAGCATATCAAGCAGGCTCTGGAACTTTAGGGTTTAGGGCTTTGGGGTTTAGGGTTTAGGTTTCTAGAACACCAGCATGCTGAAGACATTCACATAACCAAGCAAAAGAGTGTTAAATGCACAGAAAACTTCTCAAACCTCCGAAGCCGCGACCCCGCTCCCTGCCAAAGAATGAATAGCAACAACTTGAAGACCTGGAGAAACAACAAACTGAGCAAACTGCTTGAGCCCCCGTCCTTGAACCCCCAGCTACTACCACTACTATTACTACAACTACTATCACTACTATACTTCTGCGACAACGACTACTACCGCGCCTTAAGACGTTCAGAAGCCCTGAAAGACGAGGCTTCTTGCTGCTTCTCAGCATCTTCAAAGTCGAGCCGAGTCAACTGAGCACCTCGGAAGCGGTGGAAAAACCGGAAGGCCTACACGGGTAGTTGTCAAAATTAGGGTTCCTTTTTGGGTACCTTAAATTTTAGGTGCCGTATTATAATAAGGACCCGAAAAGGGACCCTAATTTTGACAACCACCCACACCCCAAACCCCTGAAAGCCCCTAAGTTTCAAGCTCTATTTGATATGGTGGTCCCCAAACCTTAAACCCCAAACCCGGCTACTACCAATACTGCCTACACCCTAAACCCCCAAAGACCCTGAGTTTCAAGCTCAATAGGAATAGGGAGTTATGGCCTTCAATTAGGGCGCCCAAAGAAGAGTCCTGATAGAAGGGATCTTGAATCCTAGCTACCTTCATCCGAAAATAGTGCCATATACTTTTTCTACGGTTGTACTTCTTAAAAAGGTGTTAGAATGGGGATCCAGATATCGGGGCTAAAAGAAATTTGGCTGTGGAGTTTGGCGGTTGGTAATTTGGAGCTTTGGCGTTTTGTGGCTTGGGCGGTCGCGGCTGTAGATGTTACGGTTGAGGAATTCGGTGGAATCCAGTCAGTTCAACCCCCGAATGGATGCGAAAGCCAAGCCCCAATTTTGATAGACCAGTTTAGGGTTTAGGTTTCTATACGAGGAATTGCCTTTATGATTTGGGGGAAGTATCCCCCATAACAGTACTTCGGACCCTTTTGGGTATTAGTAGAGCTTGATAGTGTTTCATGACCCAGGGCACTCTTCGAAACTGCAAGAGGCTCCTTATGATGCAGCGGCCTTTTGGTACCTTCTGGAGCAGCACAGCGTAGGTTTAGGCGTTAAGGGCTTGACGTTCCGGGTCTAGGTGCCAGATTATCTAGCATGTTTACATGTTCGCATGGTGTGCTACTTGTATGGGCAAGAGGTACATCACGCAGTATTTTTGCCTCTTTGCGTGGTATTTACTCGTATGGGCAAGGGTGGGTGTACTGCAGCCGAAGTTGAGAGCTCAGGGATTGGGGCTTGGGTTTGGGGCGTACGGCTGCCGAGAGCCCAAAAGCTCAGCAAATCTTGCTGTGCCGGAAGACTTTAACCCAAAGGTATAGTATAATATAGTATAGTGTAATATAGTATAGTATATTATTTGCTGTGCCGCATGCCCAACCCCCAAAGCCAAAAAGCACAGGAAATTGCATCCCAGCCCGCAGTCCAACACCCTGAATTTCCAGGATGACCTCAAGACCTAACCTGTAAATCCTGCTTCTGAACCCCGAACCCCAAGCCATGGAAAAGCCCTAACCCCTGAACCTTGGGCTCCAAAAAATTATGAACCTTGGGCCCAAAATTCTAAACCCTAATCCTGTGACCTCCGGCCCTTCATCCTTACCCCGAACGGCAAAATCCTGTGCCCTAAGGCTTCAATTTGCTGACGGCTGCGGCCGTGGCAAGTCAGCTGATACTCGGCACAGACACACGGGAGTTTCCGAATATTAGGGGTACCTTATTTGGGGGTCCTTTTAACACGGATCCTACTATTTAGGGTACTACATTAGGAACATGGCTCAAAGCGAAGCCTTTGTAAACTTGTTGGGTTCTGATAAGTTACTCTTTCTCTTGCAGTGTAAAGTTGTGAGTTCTGATAGGTTGGTTTTCCTCTTAAAGTTTAAAGTTTTGGGTTCTGACAGCTTGGTTTCACTCTCGAGTTCCCCAATTTTTGGCCCCTTACGGGTCTTTGGGAAGTAAGCGCGTTCCTCTACCCGAAGTCAGCACCCCAGTCATTCCTGGCTCCCCAAATGCCCTAAAACCTTAAACCCTACAAGACTGGGGAGTCAGGGATGACAGCCCATACTTGGAGGTTCATGAGTAGTTATAAGTGGAGTTATAAATCTCCTAATATGGGTTACAATGGTAGTTACCCTACTTAAAACTCCATTTGCAACTGCCCATGAACCTCCAAGCAGGAAATCAGAAATGCCAGAAGCGCCTCAGGGATTTGCATTTAACTGTTGATTCGATGGGGTGCCGAAGTCGTCTGGCCACTTTTCAGTGTTCACCCAAGGGGGTTGGGATATTCAGTCCGTGTACAATCCTAAACCCTGAAACCTCAACGGTCAACCCTCCGCCCTACGAAAGTTTTGTAACAAAGTCTACTATTTGCTTAAGAACCACCCAAAAAATAAAAAAAAATATATTCTTTATGGGGGGTAATATAGGGATTATTATTTTTATTTTTTGGGGTTTCTTAAGCAAATAGTAGAAGTCTCCATACCTACACCCTAGTCCACGCTAAGGGTGATTGCCATCCAGACGCTTGGGTCAATGCGTCAGCTCTCCATCAATTGGCAGGAGATCCGGCAAATCGCTGATTTCGTCTAGTAGCCTCTGAACCCCTAAACCCGAAACCGCCTAAACTCTTATAGTACCCTTATTTTTTGTTTTGCGGTTTTGGGCTTTGGGGCTGTGCTTTTTGGTCTTGTGAGAAACTTCAATGCGTTGAATCCCCCAAGAACTCCTGAGTCTGAAGCAAGTTCTGGTAAAGTATACCATACTGCAGTCTACTCCACTCTATACTACACTATATGAGGTATACTTTACTGTCGTCTACTACTTTAAGGGTTTATGGTTTAGGGTTTAGGACTATATGATAACATATTATATGATAATATGATGTCACAAAGGCACTTCAACTTTTGCGATGCGCTTTCTGCTCCAGCTTCGGCGGTACTTTCAAGGTTTCAGTATGCAGAGATTGCGATGTTCACGCTTCACACTGCAGGGTAACAGGTTTGAGGACCTAGGGATCATGGCTTGACGGCTCGGGGCTCACGACTTACCGCTTCAAGGATGCTTTGCAGGGCTTTAGCCTAGAGGTATTGGCGAGGTTATAATACCTTAGAGCTGGATGCAGATGAAGGTTTCCGGAATGGTGCATGCCGGGTAGAAGACAATGTCTCTGATTCGCTGAAGCCGAAACCCCTTATCCAAGCACATCCGCTGGTTTACTTGTATTCGCACCCATGTTTCCTTCGCTTCGACAGCGTCCCAAAGCCCCAAACCTATGTCGAGGCCATGGTAGGGCCCTCGTAACACCATTGTACTTCTAAGATCCGAAAAGGAACCTGAAGCCCAGAGGAGCCTGTGAAACAGCTCCTGGAGTTCACCAAGCTTCTGACACTCGACCTCGACTTCATCCGCATCTCCTGCATCTATGGGACTGACGCTCGGCCATCTCTTCTAGGATTCTCCCACCCTCCTTGAGATCCCAATACCCCTTAATTAAGGAAGATACCTTAAATGATAATATTAAGCCCCTCTAGTTTAAGGTATATTCCTTAATTAAGGGGGGATTGTGATTTCTGGGCTAATTCCCTTTTTGCAGTCCTAGGTTCCTTCTAAAGTTAGCCAATACCGCAAAGGTAGCCCTGTTTATTCTTAGCTTACTGGGCATCCTAGTCTTGGACGAACCCTAAACCCTATGTAGGGTTTAGGATTTAGGGCTATACCCGAATACCCTAATACTCTAAACCATAAACCCTAAACTCCAAATAGGTAATTTAGAGTTCCAAATGCTTGCGAATTGGAAAGAGACCTTGGGAAAGCCCAGAAAGGCCGAAAAATATTCCATCGGTCCACAGCTTTTGGCTTGAGCTTTGCTCGAGTGTCCGGTTTGCCAGGCCTGTGCCTAGGACTACAAGAAGGGAATAAGCCCAAAGATCCCAATACCCTTTAATCAAGGAATATACCTTAAATGATAATATTAAGCCCCTGGCGGACGACTCCTCTCTTCGTCCGGCTTTTGAAGCGCGAGCCTCCGGCACCGCTTCACCGGCCAAATCCGCACTCCGCAGCTGACACGTGGGGCCGTTTCCGGACATGTTCCTGCTTGACCGCTCCGGGATTTTGCACGCACGTCTGCACAGCCGCGTGTGACAGCCTCGCCTACCGGTCCCGTTCACGTTATAGTCTTTGCATGCGTCCGATGCATTTAGGCGAGCATTCCAGGCATATCCATCATGATCCTTGGGAATGCCTTCTCCGGAGACCCCGGGAGAATCGCGACCGCCGCACGCAGTGACTATCCTGGTTTCTGCAGCCCGGCCGTCCGGTATCGTTGGGCCTGGAAGGGCTGAAAAATCAACAAAAAACACGAATTCCCAATGCCCTAAAACCCTAAACCCTCCACGAAGCCACCCCTGTAGAAGAGCCCCGTCTAACGCTTAAGCCCCACCACCCAGGACAGCCCCGTGCTCGAGTTCATCAGTCAACTGCTGGCATGTCCCATTGGTTGCACCACTTTCCTGCCCCTCGGGCCGAAGGGGCTGTAAGAGGAGCTAAGGGGATTTTAAAGGAGCCTTATAGTATCGCTATAGAAGGGAGTTTCCGAAATTTAGGGTATCTTATTTGGGGTTCTTGTAATAAGGATACTACTGCTTAGGGTACATTATTAGGGTCCCCTATTTTCGGAAACTCCCAGAAGGGTCTTCAAAGGGGGTTGCTTAAGATTGCCTCTGCATGATCACAGATCCTAGTTTTCCGTGTTCCTCTTTGTAGTTGCAATGCAATATACCACGAAGCCCCATTCTAGTTATTGCGGCCCCTATAGTAGGGATTCAAGCTTTCCAAGGTTGCAGGCTAGGTGGTGTGTATTGGCTTTCATGTGGCTTTCGTGGATAGATAAATGGATGGATGTGTGTATATACCTAGACAGTCTTCATGCACATGCGTAACCCAGCCGATAACAGTGGTTCACTATCTGTCAGACTTATGTTGCCGGGAAACCATAAAACCACCGGTACTGCTGTGTCCCAAAAACGCTAAGCCCTATCCTCATCGTGGTATCGGTTTCACCTTCTTGAGAACACCACGTAAACAAGGGTAAGCCATCATTATCCTGATAATCCTTTCGGATAGAGACACTGTGCGCCGGTATCATTAGTAAAATGTCCCATCCATCCTCATATGCTTACATTACACGTTGATCTCAAATCCGAATCTGTTGAGGGCCTGTTGACCACCCGGTAAGAACCTGTTTTAGTTTTTTATGCGACCTTGAAGAACCCCGTCATCCTCGACATATTTGGGCGTCCGGCTCTAGGCTGTTGGGTTTGAGGATGTATTGTAGGGCTTTGGGGTTGAGGGAGTATTTTGGTGTTTTACGGTTTGGGGATTTATGGGGCTTTAGGGTTTAAAATTTAGGGTTCGGGTTTGTGGTTTTTGGGGTGGGGGTTTAAAATGCTCAAAAGTAGATTCCTATCTTTTTCATGGCTCGATTTCGGATTTCATAAGCGTTTTGTCGGATTCCTAGGCTCAGTTCACCTTTACAGGCCCATTGTAGTGCTTTCTGTATGTACATATGATGTGAATGATATGTAGGTATGTATACATGTACCTATGTACCTATGCACACACACACGCACCTCGTTACCGGAGTCAGGTTTCCTGATGTTCAGGATCATTCACTGTATCGAGTAGTATCTATTAGCATGATGACTATCAGTATTGTTATTACCAATGTCTGATTTCTATCATGATTAGTAGCAGTAGTCGTCGTCGACGTCATCGTCGTCCCTAAACCCTAAACCGAGGATCCTGTGGCTCTTGACCAGATGCGGCATCGGGCGGCCCAAACCTTTCGATAGCATCTTGGAGCACTGCACGCTTTGAGTTTCCATGGTGTCTGAGGGCCATAACGGCTGACCTTAGGGTTTAGGATTTACGGTTCATTCGCTTTAAACCCTAACCCTAAACCGAAAGCTTTCTGCAAGAGAAGCTTGACATTCTCCTGCCTTGGCAACTTGAGATCCGAGGCATTCTCAACCTTTGCGGTCTTGTCTTCTTCGCCTTCTTCCTGTCCATTACTTTAGCCACCTGGCCGATGGCAATAGTCGTCGGGTTTTAGTTTTTGCGGTTGGCGATTTTGAGCCATTCTGCAACCGTCCAAGTTGCGACAAGGCTTCAGTTCCTCAAATTCGAAAAACACCCTTCGTTCCTCTTCGGACAGGCGGCGCACGGAAGAAGAGAAAAGGGCTCTGGTTTGTTTACCCCGATAGGTGAAAGCAGAAACCCGATCTTTTTAGGGTTCATTACAGCCGTGCCGAAGCAGCAAGCACTTTAAGCCGACTCAACTTCAAAGCACGTCGAATCACGAGACCTGGACGGAAAAGTTCCATCGAATACTAAACCTGTAGCGGCCTTAAGCAACATGGCAACTAGAATCCAGTTCTTGAACACCTCAAGACCTGACCAGGCCCCAGAAGCCATGGACCCTAAACATTAAAAGCCTTCATCCAAGTCCCTCGATGGTTGTACCTGGGTTTTACGGCATGTCATATTGCGACTACGCAGACTATAATAGAGGGGAAGTTTATTTGTGATAGGTATTCCGACCCCTATATTGCACCCCGGAGCCTCTGAACCCTGCAGCTTCCAGCCCCCGTCCGAGGCCACGCTCACGCCGTTTCAGTGTGTCCCCAATCCAAATGGCACTGCCTCAATGGCCACGGAGCCTGGCATCATCTGCTCCCTGTTTTGAATAGGCGGAAGGATGGTGATCATAACATGAACTTTTCTACTAAGTGCAATGGTACAAGGCTGCAGCTCTACTGACTTGCTGCTTTACGACTGCGCGAAAATCGAAGTTAATGTTTGAGCCTCAGGACTTGTCAGTTTTGCTGGAGAGAAGCAGCAGTTTCACAGACTCAGGACCTACTATACTTTTGCAGAACCCCTACTATATGGACCCCCGGATAATGTACCCCAAATCATTTGCTGGTCGGAATGCAAGGGCTTCAATTCTTCGTCGCCGGACTTTCAATACCTGGTGCTGAAGGAAGATAGCATAAAGCAGAACTATGTAGCGTTTCTTATGATGGTTAAGGTATATATCTGAATCCTTTTCCTCTTGATTTCCAAGCAACAGTGCCGGTCCTTCCAGATGTCAGAAAAAGGACACACCTAAACTTCAAAACAAGCTGTTCACTGTAAAGCCGCTGCATAACAGAAGGGCTTAGGGTTTAGGGCTTGGCAGCAGAAGCTCAGGGTTGCTGTATCAAGGTGCCCTTTGACAACAGGATTCTTGCTACTTGGGGTTTATTGTTGAGGCCGCTCCATAATTAGCGGAAACTCCCCAATCACTGTTTTGAAAGACGGTACAAGGTTAGGGTTGGAGAATGCTGCGGATTTTCTTCAGTTAGCGTCACGCAGGTTGATGTTCATGCAGCGCGCGTGCACACACGCTATCAAATCTGTGCGACCTGCTCCCATCCCATATGCGCAGTGCATATCTTTATTTGTTTGTCTATCTATCTATGCATCACACACTCTATCTATCCTTTTGTCTGTCTCTCTAGGTATGTTGTATTTGCTGCTGATTCTTGTTTTGACGCAAATGGGTAGCCAATGTGCAGTGCGAATGCAACTGATCTTTAGCCCTTTGAAGCTACCCTAGCTCCGCACCCCTCACGGCTGAAACCCAAATCCACAGTCCCTACGTGATCCGATAAGTAACAGCACCTGAAGCTTTCCTAGCACGGCCACGGAAGTAAAGACTCAAACCCAAAAAACCTCCAACCCAGACCCTGGGTTGCAGACAAAACAATCGAGACTCGAAGCCCCTCAAGAAAAGCATCACCCCACATTGAGAGAACCCACACTGAAAAAGTGGCGGCTTCCTGAGGCTGGTATTCCGAGGAGCACACAGCGCTCGTCCTCCTGGCCTTGGCCGGGATCCTCAGTCAGCCTGGGGCCTTCCTCGTCTGGACGACTTACACGACGATCATGCACCTCAGACCTCGCTTTGTGTGAAAAAGGGGTTCAACTTTCCCTTTGAAGGGTGATAAGCTTGTTCGAAGCCATTTTCTTGGGTTTGAGATGTTGGATTTACAGTGGGGCGCATGCTGCAACATAGTGTTAAACGCTCTGCCCAGGTACCCCTCACGGGTTGCGAGCGGCAGAGGCCTCCGATTGGTGAACCGACATCGCTTTCTGTTCCACCGGTCTCTCCGGCGGTGATTCGGTAACCTCTGCCTGTTTCGTGTTTGGAGAAGCCATATACCACGAACTTGAGATTTCGAGGCTGATTCTCATCGTTTCGAGTTACATGCCTAGTAGACAACAGTGCAACATTCCCATAGCAACTCGATGCTATTCATGTCAGCCTCTACAAGAGAGAAAGGTGAAGTCCCCCCCGTTCGCAAGGTTCAAGGCGGAGAATTACTACTACGGCTTGGTGGTGCTCTATCGCAGCTGCCTCTTGGCCAAGGGTGCCAAATTCTCAGGAAACTTTCAGCTTGCTTTAAAGGCTTCAGGGGCTTGTGAATCTGAAGTTCTGGTCTCCGTCAGACTTTCCGGCAGCCAGCGGCTGCAAGCGAGGTGACACACTTGCTACATCTTGCTCCTCCGAGCCAACACGTAAAAAATTTGGGTTCCGAGAGGGAGTGCGCTGCGCTAGAAACTGCGGTTTGTGAATGAAGAATCCCATACTCAGGAATCCCAGCAGGGTTCAGACGCCAATGGGGTTGTGGGGTTGAGTCGTAGAGCAAAGCACGTTTCGGAACAGCGGCATGGGATGTTGAGGAGGAGTTCTTCAAGACTTTCAGGGTTTAGGGTGTAAGTGTAAGGGCGACTCTGACAGCATAGCTATGACTATAGTTATAAGGCTTGCCCTCGAGGGGAGATTTGAAATCAGCGTGCAAGTGCTTTCTGGAGCTCTCAGGACGGACTCTAAGCTTCTAAGAATGATGCAATTTTCTCGTGTGTGCCACACAAGATGTCGTGCGGTTGCAACTACCCCCCTTAACAGCGAGTCTTGCAGCCTTTTGAAACCTTCGGAAGCCTGATGTGAGTTTCTGGTTCCGATGCCTCGGAGTCAACACGACCTGTCAGCCTCAGGGCTTGAAGGGCTAAATCTGGGCTTGAGCTTCAATCTTCTCTTCAAGCACTTGCGGCCTTTCCGGTATCTGCTTCAGGAAACTCTTGGATCGGCTTCAGCCCATTCCAAAAGGTTCGCACACCCTAACTAGGTAGTCCTTGGGGGCATTTTATATTTCCCCTTATTGGGCTTAAGAGGATCTTATTTACTAATATTTTTCAAAAGCCTTAAAAGCCCCACCTAGCTAAGCAAGCAGCTTTAAGCCTGGAAACTGAACATGGGAGTTTCCGAAAATGGGGGACCCTAATATAGCACCCTAAATAATGGGATCCTTATTATGAGGACCCCCAAATAAGGTACCCCTAATTTTCGGAAACTCCCAAATGGCTCTCTGAAACAGAGGCTTCGTGGCCATCTTGCCAATTGCTGCTTCCGACTGGCCGGAAGTGCAAGTGCCTATTCTAGGCACGCCTCCAGGGCCAGGGCTGGGGGATCTTGACATTAGGGTTTAGGGTTTAGACATGACGAGTTTGGGAAAACCCTGAGACTCCAATAGCCTTTAATTAAGGAATATACTTTAAATTATAGTAGGATCCCTAATATGATTTAAGGTATATTCCTTAATTAAGGGGTTTTGGAGATTGGGAAAACTTGGCAGGGGGGTGATGTTTTAGAACGCAAGGTTTGGAAGTTCGGATGTAATATGGGGCCGGAGTGAATAACAATGATCTTCCATTATGCTCCCGAAAATACTTGCAGCTATTTTTAGATCCAGCCCCGATATTCAGATTTAAGGCTTGCGGCAGGGCGTGCTTGTCGGTTGAGGATTGAGGGTTTAGCCTCGTTTCTTGAGGGATGAGGGTTTGGGGTGGAGGAAGTAGCTTTGAGGATTAAGTAAGTCATTATTCCCTCTTGGGGTTTGGGTTTAGGGTTCTCAGGCCTCTGGAAACGTGAAACTTGTTTAGGAGAAAAAACGCAGCCACCGAATGCAAGGAGACTGAGCATAGACACCCAAAGCAAGTTGAAAATGCACGTTCCCTCAAGCCCTAAACCGTTAAATCCTGGGTTCTAACCTCATGTAGGGTTTACGGTCCCAAGTTTCTTAAGTTTGGGTTTTGCCCCCAGCTAGATCTCTCTCGACCCTGAAGGTACCGTGCTTATTGCGAGCATGGCTTTGCAAGCAAGGACTTACCCCTGGCGCACGGAGCAGGCCAGGGAGCGGTCCTCCAACAGAAGCCTTCAGGATGCTTCGAGGGATATGGGAGTGTCCGAAGATAGGGGACCCTGATATAGTACCCTAAATAGGAGGGTCCTTGTTATAAGGACCCCAAAATGAGGTACCCACTATGTTCGGAAACTCCCATATGGATATTGGCTATTGTCTACTTCGGCGCGTTTTGCCAGTTTTTTTCCGCAGATTGGTAGAGGTGTTCGTAAACGGACTCTATTCCGGCATTTCCGGTTTTGCCGGGGGTTCCACGAGTTTGCGATTGGGTCTTGAGTGTTGGGTCTTGGAGAACTCCGATCTGAGTCAGAGATTGAGAAAAGATGGCACCCAGAGATTCCAATATCCTTTAATTAAGGAATATTCCTTAAAATATAGTAGGATCCCATATAAGATTTAAGGAATATTCCTTAATTAAGGGACATTGGAGTCTCTGGGCACGACCAGGCAAGGCGGGGTGAGGGGAGAAGAGAAGAAGAGAGGAGCAGAACTGCGGAGTTTGTCACGATCGCACACCCGAACTAGGCAAGTAACCTACCCAAGAACCTCTCCCCTACTTGGAGGATCCTGGGACTTAGTAAGTCAGGTTATAAGTACCTTAATTGGGGTTATAAGTAGTTATAAGTATAGTTACCCTAATTATAACCCTAGTTACTAAGTCCCATGATCCTTCAAGTACCTTGAAAGGGATCATGGCAGGGCTCCGAAAGAAAGAGGGTGACACAACATGATTTGCACAGAGTGAAATCCAAATTCCGGGATTCAGACAGCCCAATACCCCTTGACAGGGGAATGTATACCAAACCCGGAAGTACGATTTGTTGCAGTCGACATTTGCTGAGCCAGAACCACCAATGTTCGGCAATTGGGCTTGTTACGGCCGATAGGGTTTATAAGGGTGTAAAGTGTTTCTGTGGGTTTTCTGCCGTTGTACAATTATCTCCCCATTCTAGTGCATAATACTATTCTGACATCATAAGTTATTTTCCGTCTTCTGGGGACGTCGAGCTCTCTGGGGGCTCGGGCTGTGTAAGGTGTTGCCGAAAGATCTTGCAGTAATTGTTAATACTCTGAACGCTAAACCCCCTAAGCTAAACCCCAAACCCCATAAGCCCTACACCTAGTAGTAGTAGTAGTAGTAGTAGTAGTAGTAGTAGTAGTAGTAGTAGTAGTAGTAGTAGCAGCAGCAGTAGTAGTAGTAGTAGTAGTAGTAGGTTTGAACCCGTAGACGACCACGAAGCAGACAGATTCGAAAAGGCGAACCACGTCGATCTCGTCTTCACCGGCTTCCTCCTGCTGATTTTGCTCGGTGCCGCTCCACTGCTACAGCTGGACCTGTCGCAGTCCACCTCAGTGCTACGTGGCAGGGCTTTACGTGTAGGAGGGTTTAGGGTTTGGGGTGACCTAATTTTTTGTAGATGCTGCTGCATCGCTCAAGATGCAGAGCACTGGCGGCCACAATCCTGCTGTCAAAACTTAGGTGCCCATGAGTTGCAAATGGTGTAAGTGGTGCTATTGACCCTTCGTCGGTTGGTCGGTTGCAGGGCTCAGGAGGGGTGGTTTCAACATCTGTTGGTGGGCTTAAGGTTTTGCACTGCGGGAATTGAAGGGTTTCAAGTTTTGGGTGACATGTAGCGCAGTCCTTCTAAGCATAAGGGTACCATCTCGATCAATAGCAGCGACAGTGTCTGCGCGGTTTCCCTGACATTGGCTCCTTAGTTCCTCATTGTGCGACCACCGTCTCAACACACATCCACTATCAGTTCAGGTTTTGGGTTTAGGGAGCGTTATCACCGTACAACTCTGCCTTAAGTCCCTGAGCATGTAAGTGTTCAGGCAGGCTTAGGATATCAGACTGCAGGCCTTCGGACCCTGCACCCCAAAACGACCGCAAACCCCCAAACCCCCTAAACCTTAAACCCTTATAAACCCTAAACCCCGAAACCCATCAACCCCAGAGCCCTAAACTTCAGAAGAACCACTTAAGTCGAGCTGAGGCTTGGGTGGATGCTCTGTGTGCCGGTTTGCGGCCTGATTGTGGTGGGCGCTGTGATTCTTGCCCGGTCCCTTTTGAGCGGCTTGGCCTTTCTAGGAAAAGAAAAAAGCTAGGTAGGGCTTTGGGTTAGGGTTTAGGGTTTAGGGGACGATAATATAGTACCTTAAATGGTAGGATCCTTATTATAGCCTTTAGAATTGCTGTGTAGGACTTTGGGACATTTTGGATTTCCCCTTATTGGGCTTAAGAGGATCTTACTTACTAATGTTTTTCGAAAGCTTTTAAAAGCCCCACTTAGAAAGCCGTTCCTGATCCATGCAAATTCAAGTTTAACTGTTTTTGACTCTGTGTGTGGTCAGTAGAATCCGAAGATAGGAGGATCTTGGCAGCCTCCGACCCCAGGACATTATCAGCAGAGATACCTTTTCGGCATCTTCCTCTGCCATCACAAAGGGGGCGCTGGAAGCCTCTGCCGACTCATGAAGCTGATGATTGCCAGGCCCTCCCTGCACTCCAAGGGTAAACGGAAGGACCCTTAATAAGGACCCCTAGGTAGATACCCTTATTATAGCTATTATATTCCCGTTGTACAGCCCATTATAGGGTAGGGGTCCCCATTAAGGGTCCCTCCTTGTCCCCTTTGATGCACGCTTCTTGTCCTCTGCCTCACGGCTCGTGAAGCTGCCGGGGTTTTAGAGCCCTAAACCCTGGTTTAGGGTTTAGGGTTTAGGGTTTAGGAGGGCTTTGTCGTCTTCGATTCTAATTAAAAGCATAAACCCTCGAAGCCACAAAAAAAACATATCCAAGCCCTTAAAGCCTTCAAAGCCACAACTCGCTGAGCCCCACACCCCAATCCCAAACGAAGCCGGAAACCGAGAGGCCCTCTCTTAGTTTTGTTGGAGGGTTTCGCGAGTGAAGAGTTTCAAGCCAGTCGTATGAGATTGCTCACAGCCGCAGTTTTTTGTTTTTAATCGTGGGGTTCTTGCGTTCAGAGTGAACAGGTATTGTTAGGCGTGACCCTGAGGCATGCGTGTCGAGGCGGATCCATGCACATGCTCGCGCGTTCTGTTCCCAGACCCCTAGTGTCGGCATCCTCCGACCGACGCGCGCGGTCCAAGACTTGACTTGGGCGTTTGCTGCGAGTCTTGTTTCTGCCTCCAAGAATCCCTTAATAAGCACCCCTAGGTAGATACCCTTAATATAGCTATTATATTCCCGTTATACAGCCCATTATAGGGTAGGGGTCCCCATTAAGGGTCCCTCCCACGCACATGTTCGGGTGAGACTGCTGCTCCCGACGGACGTGCTGTGTTCGGGGGTGCCGGGATCGGCCTTATTATTTTTTTTTTATTATTATTTTTATTATTATTATTGCTGGTGTGATCCAGCAGGCATAGAAGCAGAAGCTACTAGTGGGGTAGCTAATCCCCTAGCAGAGTCTTCCGAACTGCCCATGGCTCACACAATCGCGGAGGTTTTACACGCAAGCAAGAAGACTGAAGTTAGTGCTACGTTGGGCGTGGCACCTACAACTATGCTCAAGGCTGTGCTGTTCGGGCCTAAAGAGCAAGAAGAGGAAAACCACGTCACATGTACATCTGGCATGAGCTGCACAGGAAGCATGCACTTCAGCAATTAGTATTATTATTATTTTTATTGTTATTATTATTACTCTTCCCAAAGCCTGGTGACTGGTGCCCATGCGGCTGCTCGGGGGCTCTTGAAAGCCTTTTGAGCGATTCCTGATAGGAGCATCTGGAATTCTGGATTTTTCTAGCTGCTGGGTGCTCCTTCAGTGTGTTGGGGCTCTACGCTGTTGTAAGTGAACTCTTGGAAACACAGCACTTGCTCGACGATAGTTCATCCTTCATTATTCTGAGCGGTCCTTCCGTGGCCGTGCTGTAAAACATCAGTCCGAAGGCCCCACGCTGTCCGCAGGTACAGTCCTACCCGGGTTTTCTTGGATTGCGATCAGCTTGAAAACTTGGACCTGCTCTTCGACATTGTCCCTGGGCTTTTGCAATCGTGAAAATTACAGAGAAGGATAATCACAAACGAGAGCAATGCTAGAAGTATCATAAGCGAGAGGGCAAAAGAAGCAATGATACAAAGTCTTAGCGCGATGGGAAGTTGAGATTTTGTGGAGTCGGAGTTTCAGGTTTTCTCGGAGTTCCTGCTTTGTGCGACATTGGAACCTGTTGGTTTTGGGGCTCTGGGACAAGCGATCATCCATGTTTCGCATCTCGGCGTTAGGTGTGGATGCTTCTTGCTTGTGTGAACTTTACTATACCCCTGTGTGGCTGCAATTTTTGACCTCGAACCTCTTGGATCTTGTTGCCTTTCCCTCTTCGGGCTTTATGGGTTGCAATGTCCCGTGGGTACTTCAAATTTTGCCCACAAGCGGACCGTCTCAAGAAATCTCCAACAGTAAAGGCTTGGAATGAACGGTTCCTCTTGCAAGGAAACTATACACCTCAGAACCCTAATCTAGCCCCGTATGAAAACTTTCGATTTGGGCCTGGGCGTTCAGCGCTTCGAGGTAAATGGTCTTAACCTTAACCCACCTCAGAAGTAAGCTTACACTCCTTACAATGTCATTTGAGGTGCTTGTAGCCGCTTTGTCGGTTCAGTGTACAGCAAATAAGTCAACACCCTAAGCCCTAAATCCTAAACCGCAGTGTCCACAGTCATGCTTTTGGCGGATGCCCAAGATTCGGAGACCTACCTTAAAGGATCCTTCTTGTAGATGTCCTGCCTCCTCAGGGTGAATTAATAGAAAAGCTCGTTTGTTTCGGCCGCTCTCAAAGACGGCCGACGGACAGAATTCTCATTCCAGCATTCCTTTGACCAATCCAAATTATACAGTTATCGTGTTGCCCACGAGCGACACTGCTTGCAACCCTTATGAACAAACAGTTTCTTGAGACTCATACAGAAACCACGCGTCTAGAACGCCAACAGAAACCATGGCTTCTGGCAGTAAAGATCCCCTGCAGAGGGTAGAGCCCTTGATTTCACGAAAAAAAACCACACAATCTGAACCCAGGCCCACTCCTGATCTTACATTGCATAATACAATGGAGCATAACAGATATAACAGTATATATGCAGTAATACTATGCTACTCTATTCTTACATATTGCATTATGGCATAGAGTTTATTTATTCTGATATTCTTTCTTTAGTATGATGGCCAGAGCTGCTCAGGTCCGATCCTCCACTCAGAGTGTTGTGGTTGTGCTAACGCGCGATCTCTTGAAACGAGCGTCTGGGTACAAGGGTTTAGCGTTTAGGAGGATGTTGAATTTTGGGTTGTGGATTTAGGATTTTGGATTAGAGTGTAAGGTGGGTGATGCATTCAGGTTTGCGACCTGTTGAAACGAGCATGTGGACAGGATGCCTTTCTATTGTAGGTCGCCATGAGAGACATAGTGGGCAAATACAAGGCCAGCCCTAAGACCATACTACCGGGGTTTTACCTTGTTTAAGGATCCTATTGCAAGTTGAGTTATGTTCGGTAATGAACGGATACTGGAAGATCTGAGCGTAGACGAGAGGGATACCCCTTACTTACCCCTGAAAGATCACCAAGCATCTCGTGTAGGCGCAGGGTGTTGCTTGCAACCGCTTTGAGGAGCCTTGCTTGACAAGAAGATGACTTCATAGACTTCTTTTGGCCAGGTTTTGGGATTTAGGGTGAAGGGTTAGGATGTAGCGCTACCTTAAACCCTTAAGCAATTGAACCTGATACCCTGATCTAGGTATGGTGTGCCGGGGAGATCACGACGGCCTGGAAGAACAAGGCTTCTTCGGGTTTACGATTTCGAACTAGCGATGCAGCTCGTAATTGGGCTGATATCCTTGCGAAGCAAGTTCATAGTGTGATGCAGACTTTCGCAGGTGACGACCGTGCCGCTGGTATGCGACGGTTTCCAGCCGCTTCCGGAAGAAGTGCGCAAACTGATCGTCACATGGTGGACACCACAGCAGCAGCAGATTCTTGCCGGCAGTCCTTTCCGTCTGTGACATTTCGAAGCCTGCACCGCAGTGAACCATAATCTGGATAGTGTATACGGACCTGATTAAGAGACTCTGGTCTTCTTGCCCCAAAATCTTCGGACTCATGTTAGGAACCCTAATAAAGACGAGGGCTTCCCAATCAGGTGCGACTTCCCAAACCTGTAGCCTAACACGACAGAAACTCCTCGGACAGACGCTGTACAGCTTGGGCTTTTTCTCAACATAATGGTGTTCTGTCCTGAAGCATGCTACAGAACAGACCGTGACTCCTCTAAACTCCAAGGTGGGGAATTTCAGGGTATCGAGTTTCAACATCAGACCCAACATTCGAGCCGCTGAGGGCCATGCTTGGGCTGTCTTCGCGACCCCGGGACCCGCAAGCCCCAAACCGAACCCTGCCAAATATCTTGCCATCTCCTCGCGGCCCTACAAAGCCCTTCAGAGGTGACCTCTCAATACACCAAGCAAGCCTTACAGGCATGCTTTGTAGAATTAGTGTCGGACAGTGGCATGTCAGTCTCATTCAACGCCATACATGCACTCATTTGCATATTTTCGCCTTGCATATGGATATCCGAACGCTGATTTACCAGAGTCCCCAAACCCCTAAACCTCACGCTCAACCCTTAAACCCTCAAACCTTTATAGACCCCCAGTCCATCTTGGGGTGCATCTTGCCGTTCAGATGTCCCCAGCGTGCTCAGGATCCTTGCAAACTACGGGGCCGCCCAGCCATCAACGAGCTTTAGGGCTTTAAGGGTTTAGGGCTTTGGGTTTTAGAGCTTATTAGGGTTTAGGTTTTGGGGTTTAGGGTTTAGGGGTTTAGGGTTTAAGGGTTTAGGGTTTGGGAGTTTTAGGGTTTAGGGGATGTACCTGGGATACCCCTATCCCAGTTTTTGCTTATGTGCTTTTTGGGGGCCGTAAATTATGCATGTATTCCTGGATATGGTAAGCAATCTATATGACGCTTTCCTGCATTCCTTATACTGGCTTCTGCAGTCAATAGCTGCTATACTCTTTTTGGTATGGTATCTGGCACTAAGTTCCTCACCAGGGTCTTCGAGTCAACTAAATTCTGATGCCCGCACGAGTCCTGGATGTTTCCAGAGTCCTTCGCCTGGGGAACTCTTTCTTCCCCGAGCCTGAGATGCTACTTGGAGGGTCGGGGGACTTAGTAACTGGTTATTTTAGGGGCTTATAAGTACCATAACCCCAATTAGGATCCCTTTTAGGGTACTTATAAGTCTACTTACTACCCAGTTACTAAGTCCCCCGACCCTCCAAGTAGACTTTGCACATACCGCACGCAGCTGCGGAAAGATCGCAATGGTGAGGGCCTGGGGTTTGTGACCTGTGGTGTCGGGTTGGGGCTTTCCAGGGCCTACTGATGAGGTCGAGATCGACGATGTCCATGCTGCCTACACTTGGCTTCAGCATGAGCTGAATCCACTGCCGATGCCCAGGTTTGGACCAGCCCAGCCCTCAGCCAAAGTAAGAGATATTCCTATAGCCATAGTAAGAAGGCCCACGTAGTGCAATTATTCCAGAGTAGATCCCCAAACAGTGAATGAGCAGCACGACGGCCATGAAGACCATCACAGCGACCGCAACTTCTACCAAGACGACCCCGATGGGTCCTGTGTGAATAAACAGGATGTGAGATCACAATGGCTCAGCACGGCACCACACATGCAGCCACCGGACAGGATTTCTACACAGATGGTTGTCCTTTCGACGCCAACCACGCTGCCCGCATAATGGACTCGTGCCTGGCGGAGGACGCGGACACCCCGAGTCCGCCGAAAAGGTTGTCAAATCCAACAGCCTCCAGGCAGCCCCGTGCTTTGAAGCACACTGAAGTCGATCATTTACGAGACAACCAGGCGACGACTTCACATCATGCCATCCGTCAACCTCACGACGACTGTACCTCTTGCCATGCAACATCATGCCAACCATCAAAAACAAGCCATTCTATAGCGAACAGCTCCACGGAAGAACCGTTCGACACATTTTCGGAGAATAGAAGCCTGAATAAGTCACCAACCTTCTTCCTTTGGCTTCCTTGCTAGAAGATGTGCCTCAAAATCCTTTTTCTAATTGTTAGGGGGCCTTTGTACAAACGCCGTGTAAAGGAACCCGTAATGGAACCAAAGCCCTAGTTCGCTTTTATTTTCGTCAGCATGCACAGCTGGAGGGCCTTTTGGGATCTTTTTGCCGAAGCGCCGTTCAGGTGTGGGACAGGGAGGAGGTCGTAAGGGACATGCTGCTGCGCTGCGGCGTCCTCTCTTCCAGGCTTCGGCAGGTTTTAAAGGTAAGACAACAGCCGAGGTGACAGTGAAGATGATGACGATGATGGTGATGATGGTCATTGTGATCATGACGATGGTTGTGATGACGTAAGTAACACTACACTAGCTCACTTTCAAGTACATGATTTTCCTTTGTAGTGTGGTAGATTAGGGGTTCATGTCATTAAAGACTATGCTCTGGTGGTTGGTTCGTGTGCGCGTATGAACAACCGCGGTTTTGGGTGCTTGCATATTTGCGAGATCGTCGATCTTGAAGCTTATGTAAATCATCGCCACTCTGTCTATCATTGATATGCCTGCCGTGCCACGAGTACTCTTCAAATGACGATGCTAGCATTTCCGCCAGTAGTGTTACACTGCAGCACTTTCTATCATGTCATGTTCCATCGTGTTGTGCTTTGTAGGATTATGCTGGTTCATGTCATTGAATACTAGGTTCTGCTTTGCTTGTGCAAAGCAATGTGCTTTGGGTGTGAGGCTTTTCTCAGGTGTGGCGAACACAGCGCCATCAGCACTACCAATTTTACTAGGAGTACCCGTGTACTTAGTTTCATGCGTTAATGTTCGCCATAGAGATACGGTGCGTGCTGTAAATCATCGGCTCTATCTCTGTCATAGGTATGCTGGTCGTGCTACGAAAACTCTATGTTGTTAGTTACTGCTGTGCTGTCGCACATGGCGAGTCTGACGTTGCCAGAGCTATGGGTGGGGCACTAGCACGAGCAATACATTTTCCCATTTCCGAATCAATCAAATCTGTACTGCAAAGTCGTTTTATAGGGGCCTGCGGAGATGATGTTTTTCGCGCTTGGGATGTTGTAGGCTCTCTCCACAAGCACACACAAAGCTAAAGAGCGAAAGTTTGACACCGTTCGATTGTCATGGCTGCATCAGAGGGCCAGCCAAGTGGAGGCTGAACAGTTTGCAGCTCCGTATCTAGGGGTCCTTCTCAAAGGATCACTGCCTCTACCTCTCGCACCATCAAGGTATCGAACTCAGCAACAACTCGGATTGGCACTGCCGTACTTGCAAAAATTCAATGAAAGAGTTATACTTACCTTACCTATACAACCGATCTGCAAGTACCTGTGAACTTGTTTGTGCCGTTTTGCGGGAAGAAGTGGCATCGGGGCAACTACTTTCAGGTGTGTACGATCTAGGGTTTGCCGGAAGGCTCCCAAGCCAGTGTGCATATCCGTGCGCTGGACGGGACAAGTGAAACCGTCAGGAAGCCCAAACCCAACTCTCTTCAGAGGCCCAAAGGATACGAAACCTTCAATGAACTCTCCTCAAAATCCTATAGGATCCTGAACTTCAATCCCTAAACACACTCCGAAGAAACCCAGAGGAGGGTACACTAGGATGCCCAGTAGTACCCTTATTCCCTTTTTGTATTCTTAGGTTCCTTAGAAAGTTACCCAATACCAAAAAGAGAGGCCTTTTTATTCTTAGGTTACTGGGTATCCTAGTAAACCAAGAGGACGGTAAAGCCGCTGCGCAGGAGATCGGCCTTTAGCCTTTCCAGAAGCCACTCGCTTCGCATTGGAGCCACTATGAGTCATAGTAGAAGTAAGTAGTATACAGTCACATGGAATGCAGGGCATACATACATACATACATACACATGTGTATATATATATATATATATACTTATCTATCTGTCTCTCTCTATCTCTCTCTGTCTCTCTCTCTCTCTCTCTCTTTCTAAGCACCACGGCTCAGACCGGCTCTACAAGCAGAGCTTTGTATATACAGCCGGGTGCCGCATGACATGGCGTCTTCTCATGCTGCTTTCAATGATGAGTCTAGTGGCAAGTGCGCTGACCTTTCTGCCAGTACCGACAGGACCTCCGAATCGATCCGCAAACCCAACAAAATTAGCTCCGCGTGGTTGGGACCCGACTCAGGACCCGATTCAGGACCTGCAACCGGCCCCGCAAGGGAGTCCGCGTTGGAACAGAGCTCAGTCATTGATCAGGACACGTGTGCTATGGACTGCTCTGCCGACACACCCGCGGAGTGCATTTTGCTCTCCAAGCTGGGATCTACACCGAAACGGAAGGTGCGCCGCAGAACCTCCATACTTAGGTCCCAGGATCTTCTCGCAGCGCAGGCGCTGGCACAGGCACAGCGCAAGCACGATGCCACTTACGGCCCCTATCAGGGTGCCGATCAGGTTCCGTCCCTGGCTCAGAACTCTGAGAATGCTTCTGCACTGGACTTGCACTCCATGGATTGAGCATGTGAATGCTACTGGCGGCCCCGGTCCCGGGAGCCAGCATCGCTTTCTTGACTTTGATGATAGCTGCGAGCGCGCTGCTCGCGGAAGCACTCGCGATGCTCTCCACAGACGGCTCCCTCAGCGGAAGCCGGTCCGAGCCGAGCCCGGTCCCAAGTCCGGGCCTCGATTTCAAATTGCCCATCACCATCCCGTTTGTCAGGCGAGGGGTGCGAGGGTTGCTGGATACCTTGCCTCAGGTCCAGCAGGAGCGGCTTATTCAGCCCTCCTAGTGCTATCACACACTAGTGCGAAGCCACGAGGTAGGCGATCTTCTTTTTCACCGAGCATCGTTGCAGCCTCAACATGCTGTACTGGTAATGCAGATCGCGAAACTCAGGTCATCCAGGTTATTCTGGAAACCATCTTCTTCTTGTACCACCTTCTTGCCTCACCGGCCCTGTTTGGGGACCGCCTGCTCCGTTATTTTGCTCCTTGTGTAGTCTTGACACTACCTTTGCAGGACTGCTGCTCAAGCCAGGGACCCGCCCTATAGATCCAACCCGTAAGGAGGCATGGGGGCCACGATCCGACGCAAGCCATCGAGCTGCATTGCCGGCACTGCCGGCCGTGTGGCGAAAAGGCCCAGCTCACAGAAGCCCAAGGCCGCTCTCAAACGCCCGAGCATGCCCCGTTCAGCCACGGCCCCTTGCGGGAGCCGTCGTCGTGTTCTTCAGGCCGCACCTCGCAGATCTCCTGGTTCACCGACTCCTCGGAGGCTGTCGATGCCATGGACATGGAGCTGGTGCCGCCGAATCCGCCGGGACCGTCTGCTGGACCGCCATATGCTCCACCGAGACCCCGGCCGGTACGAGATCGCTCCTCTGACTCTGCCGAAATCGAAAGGAGCGGGAGGAGACACGGCCCCCCTTGTGGGCCGCCGCCGCCACAGCCCGTGCACTATTCCCACTCCCCGTTCGGCAGCACTGACGAGGAGAAGCCGCCCTCGAATCATTACCCTTACCTCTCTGCTTAGATTTCCCTCCCATCTGAGTATAGACGATCCATCTCGGACCCCTGCACAACAGCATCAGAGGGACATATCGGCCATGGGGAAGAGGGCCGGCCCTCGATCACGATGGCGGCCTGATGGCCGCCGCAGGCGCACCCAAGGAGAAATCGCCAAAAGGAAGGCCAAGGCTGCAGAGCGGGCAGCTCAGGCAGCTGCCCAGGACCAAGACCGGGATCCGACAGACACTGAGGAGGATGAGGACGGCCCCGAAAGCGGCTGACAGAGACGATGAAGAAGCCGATGATCACCCCCCAGAGCACGAGCCTGCTGGAGACAGTGTGGAGGTTCTCAACGATCCCAGCTCTGAAGAACAGCTCGAACTGCCACGCCTCTCTGGAAGCAGGTACGGGTTGCAGCCGGCCCCCGAAAGGGGAGCCGAAATGCGGCATCGCAGTACCCAAAGGAGCTACCATCGCTCCAGATCGCCGGCACGATCACCAGCGCCGAGAAGAAGCCCGAGCTGGCAGGTCGAAACCTCAAAAGCAATGTCGCAGATCTTGCGACACACGGGGCGAGTACGCGAGGACGGATATATCCCAGTGACAGAGCTACTGCGGCACCCACGCCTCCGGCAGGCGGGCGCTACCCTGACAGACATTCAGGAGGCGGTGCACGCCAATGACAAGCAGCGTTTCCAATTGTCATGGCAAGGGCGCGGGCACGGTCGCGAGCTCCTTATCAGGGCTACCCAGGGCCACTCACAGCAGCAAGTTCAGGACGACCTTCTTCTTACCCGTATTACGGCCCCACATGAGGTGCCGCTGGCGGTTCACGGAACATACTTTCGACATTACTCCTCGATTTATCACCAAGGCCTGCGAGCAGGAGGAGACCGAGGGCAGCGGGCCAGGAAACATGTCCATTTCGCCATGGCCCTACCCAGAGATCAACACAGGGCCACTTCTGGAATGAGGAAAGATGTCGAAATCCT